ATTTTCTACAACTATCTTGTCTCAATGCTTCTTACTCTTCTTTTATTTCTTCTAATTCTGCATTTTTTCGTCGGCTTTAAATTATACTTTTCTAACATTTGTGTATTCTCACATTTTGGAACTTATATTTTTATTAAAAAATCTTCATACTTATCATCTTGTGTTTTTATATCTATATTTTTAAATCATATTCCAATTTTATTCTCTCTCTCTCTCTCTCTCTCTCTCTCTCTCTCTCTCTCTCTCTCTCTCTCTCTCTCTCTCTCTCTCTCTCTCTCTCTCTCTCTCTCTCTCTCTCTGGTCGTCTTGTTCTAACCTTCTCTCAATTGGTCTAATCTGCTAATCTTTATTGAAATTCCGGTGGATTATTCAACAACATTAATTTATTTCGTCTATCAACAGGATCATGTATACTTGTTACAACAGGATCAGGTATACTTGTTACAACAGGATCAGGTATACTTGTTACAACAGGATCATGTATACTTGTTACAACAGGATCATGTATACTTTTTACAACAGGATCAGGTATACTTGTTACAACAGGATCATGTATATTTGCTACAACAGGATCATGTATACTTGTTACAACAGGATCAGGTATACTTGTTACAACAGGATCAGGTATACTTGTTACAACAGGATCAGGTATACTTGTTACAACAGGATCAGGTATACTTGTTACAACAGAATCAGGTATACTTGTTACAACAGGATCATGTATACTTATTACAAGTTACTCAGCTGATCTCATTTTCTCCGCATCACATCTAGCAATATTATTCCAGCAGCTGCCTCTTGTTGTTCTTTAACTAGTCCAAGTAAACCTTTTTCTTGTAATATTTTAAGTTCTTTTTCTGATAATGGTTTATTTTCAAGTTGTTTTCCAAGTTAAGCCTCAGTAGCTAGATTGAGAACAACTAATGCTGTTCTATTGCAACAACTTGACCACATCCTGATGTTGAACTGCTTAAATTGTGCTTGAGACTGTGATAATTTTATTTAGATTTTATTTTCTGTACTTTTCTCGTTTTTCTATGATTATATACTATTTTCTATAATAATTACTATAGATATTTGTCAATACAAAATCGAAACATTTGCTTTTATCATTTCCTAATTTATTAAACAAAAAGTCAAATTTATTTGCTGTTGCTTGATGATATAGTTAAAAAAAAAATTTGTTACATCGCCACATTGCTCGTTAGCAATATTGCTTACATCGATATTGTCCAGTCCTGGAAATAATATAAAACAGGCATTATTTCGTCTATTAAAAATGTCAACGTTATAAAAACTATGAGCTAGATAAATAGAATTACATTTCTTATTACGTGAGAATGAAAAATATGATCTGATTTTATGAATTTCCTCGTTGTTTAGCGGAATACCATCAAAGGCAACTGTCTTATGTTCAGACAAATCAAATTGATTATCTAGAACAAGTTCTTCTGGTTGTTTGATAATAAAAAAAATTCACCAGCCTCAAGATCACCACAGAGTTTGTCAGTATAATTGTTAAGTAGCTCGAATTTATCCTGTTGTGGATTAATTGTGTATATATAAACGCAATCGTAGTTAAAATTATCTCCGAGAAGCAAATTCATTTTCAAGTTTGTGTTCCCCTACCAAGTTCTTCCAACAATAAGATAATGACAATCTGGAAGTTCATCGTTATGTTTATGTTTTACCAAACGTTCTGTAGCAACGTTTAATATAGACGATTTTGCCATTATTGTTATACATTTTTGTTTTATAATTTTGTCAAATAGTAAATAAATACGGAGATGTTATTCAAAATTTGGAACATTAGTAGGTGTTTCAACGTCAAAAACTCAGCAAGGTGACCTATCTAAATATATGCACCTCTTCATCAGCTCAAAAATGAAATCAATAATTTACCAAAATATCACAAGTGTTGATCAAAATGAAGTTGAAGTTTTTCAAGGTAAACAAGGGCGATTAAAAACAAGTAATATACAACTATCAGATGTACTTGTGTGAATTCCCTATCCGCCGTTGTTAATAATATAGTTTCTTTTGCTGACTAAGGTAAAATACAAGATTCGGATAAGTCAGTTAACGATTGTATTAAGAAAGCTGTCTATTCATTTACTGGTACCCTTGTCATAAACAATAACAAAATTACATACCTTGGAAACCCAGTCGCAGAATCAGATGCAACAGCAAAAAAAAAATACATCGATGATCAAACATCTAAGAACGTTTTAGATTAGTGCGCGGTGGTATCATGCGTTTATTTCACAAGATAAATAATGATGGTATTAATAATCTCAGAACACCAGAAACAACAGACGCTGCAACTAAAAAATACGTCGACAATTTAATATTCCGACAGTGATAGCAATAACAACAATCAACAATAAAATTACTGCATTTAGAATTGATTATGATAATCACATACCAACGTTCCTGAATTTTCGTTGATATATAAACAGATCTATTAATGAATTATTTGTAAGTCCATTGATTGTAGATCTTAAACACGTTGACATTAACAAAAAATAAACGATATTGTCAGTGACATTCCGAAAATCGTTTAAATAAAACAAATTTGATCAAAATTCCTCACGGACGAGCTAACAACATTGTATACACAGCATCATCAGAATCAGTAACAGTGTATTGGCTGTCTGTATTTAGCGGTGCAAAATTTAATATATTTACCACATATCATTGGAGTCATTCAGCCGATAGTTTTTCTCGAACTTTATCTTTAGTGTTAAATAAAGATGCCAAAGAAACATTTTTACTGGAAGCATCTCATAAAAATAAACCGCAACGTCTTACTGATGGTGTTTCGCATTTGTCGCAGAAATACCACAATTAAGTCAATTAATCAATTTTATTAATTTAAACCCAGGTACTGGCACTATTGTATAAAATGTGTAAACAAATCTTATATAATTAAAAAATAGACAAAATTGATTTGAATCATATTTCAGAAAAATTCCAAAGCAAGATGCGGCGATCTAATGCTATATTACAGATATCAGTTAAAACAAAAAAAAACTTTGGTATGTGAAAAAATGTTACAGATATACCAAAATACTTCGAGTGATTTCATATTTACCACTGTTAATGACTAAGTCCAGTATAATTTCAAGTGGAGCATCATTAAATCAGTTTTTTGTTAATAATATTCGACGTTGGTGTTTCTCTTGCAACAGCGTGCAAAAAAAATTGAGCCCCGACTCGCGACTAAAAAATGCTTGCAAAACAGTACGTATCACTTATGAACAATTATTTGATCAGATACGATCTTATTTGCGTGGTATAAAATATGATATAGACGATTTAATACGCGAGTTCCGTATCATTGACAGTATGTTAACAGATATTCAGCCAATGAGAGCTAATAGGTATGAAAAAGATTTTAATAAAATATGGGTTACAAAAAATGTTTAATTTTGTGCAGCTTTACAAATATCGTTATCAAATAAAATGTCAACCATATAGATCATCTGCCCAACCTGCTATTCGTTCGTCATTTTCAGTCGCGAATAATCAAACTGATCTATGTTTTGGTGATACATGGTAACCAACTTTTTAAATACAATCGCTTATTATTCTAGGTTTTATACCAGTATAACTTGAGGCTGATTTGATTGAATTGAAACTCTTACAAAATCTGTTTTTCAGATCAAACCCAACATGTCGGATTGAGAATGACATTATATAATATTTCATTGAGCTAAAAAAAAGCTGCCGAAAAAATGTTAACATATAACGCTTTTGGAGGGTGGGGGGTCTGAGAGCGGAATATCAACAACCAATACTACTTTATCACGAATATATAGCAAATCTGCTGAAAGACCTATTGATAATCCAGAAACTTTATCACACACATACACGGACAGACATACAGACAGATAGACAGACAAACAGACAGACAGATAGACAGACAAACAGACAGATAGATAGACAGACAAACAGATAGACAGACAGATAGATAAATAAATAGATAGATAGATAGATAGATAGACAGACAGACAGACAGACAGACAGATAGATAGATAGATAGATAGATAGATAGATAGATAGATAGATAGATAGATAGATAGATAGATAGATAGATAGATAGATAGATAGATAGATAGATAGATAGATAGATATGATGACTTCCATTTGTGATGCACGTGTCAAAATTTACTTTGTGTATTCCGGATACACTTTGTATCTCCGTATGCCAAAACATAGATTAATTGCCATGCAGACAGACAATCGCAAAGACGGATACACCAATATAGAACAAGTATTGTTTCAAACCAATCTACCAGATATAAATTTAAGTTACCTTAAAATGAAGAAACGCCTTCCTAGTTACGGTACAGTTGCACATACATGTTTAAGGCTGCCGACAAAATAGGGCTTGTACTTGTGTATAACTTCTTTTCATAAACTATTTTTGCACTTTTAAAGATACTGTGACTTTTTATTTATCTTCTCCTTTTATGAAAAACTGGTAATTGTACCCGAGAATCGTGACTAGAATGTGTTTTACGTCAATGTCAATTGTTTTCACGTTACTTTAAGAGATAAATGATACGGCAGTTGACAAGAAGACGGGTCATCTGACTGGTAATGAGGAAATTATGAAGAAGTTTTTAGGATCTATCAACTTAAGTTTTGATAATGACAAAATTAATACGAATGCGATGCAAGCTGCATTTTCTATCTGGTTCACACCCGAGTGTAACACTGTCACAGCAAGCAAAATTTGCGAAATTAGTACGTTTCGGAGCCAGTAACTTCAGTTTGATGCAACGCAGAATAGTCAATGATGGCTTGATGGATCAAAAGTATCTTAGGAGTAAAACAAGGAAATATAGGGTCATTTGGAAGTTTCTGACCAATGTCAGAAACGGTCATGGGGGTCATCTGAGGTAATTTTGATTTTTTTTAAATTCCGATTATTTTTTTTAACATCAAGCTCGCGTCGAGCACCTGTGGACATAACTATAAAATGCCACACTTCAGACATCATAGCGATATGATTGAATGGTTAGAGCGTCCGCTTTGGATGCGGGAGGTCGTGGGTTCCATCCCCGGTCGAGTCATACCAAAGACTTACAAAAATGGTACTAACTGCTGCCTCGCTTGATCCTCAGCATTAAGAGGTTAATGTTAGGACTGGTTGGCCTGGTATCAGAATAATGTGACTTAGTGGGACATCTTCCACATGTCTGCGGCATGATGCCCCAGTGCTAAGCATCACAATAAACTGCCACACTGCAGACATGATAGCGATATGACAGAAAAATTGTTAAAGCTACGTTAAAAATCATAATTACATCACCTCACATCACAAAGCTACGTTTAAAGTCTATATCACACCAACACACACACTAATATTATTGCTATTATCCCCACGATGGTGCTAATACTATTGCCATTATTTCTCCGGAAGTGATACCTTTCTGGTTGATCTTAATAATGGATGTCCTTAGTCTGCATGCAAACATATTCCATGAACTAATTCGCATTCACGTAAAGGAAAAGAAATTATAAAGATCTAATTACGAGAAAAATGCTGAGTAAAGCAAGCAAGCAACTGTATTTCAATTCAATCTGGAATATAAATTAAAGAACAAGTGTGTCGATGAAATAAACGCCTTCAGTACTGTAGATGTTCTACATATAGATGTTTTGAAAGTTGTTTTATATTTATCATTTCTTTTTTATTACTGATTTATACTTCTGAAGTAAAATAGCTCATACTTAGCATACAACGAATATGCACGTGACCATTGATATCGGAAATGACAGTTGATATTGGAGATAACCTACTTCCTGTCTCGTTCTAAGCCCCATAGACCATCCGAAAATGATGGATTTTAGCTATACACTGGTACCAATAATGATCAGTTACCTTTTTTACCAAATTAACACTGTTACTAATATCGTGTAGACCAGGGGTTTTCAAACTGTGGTCAACAGACCCTATGGGATCCGTCGCATGTTGCCAAAGGGTCCGCAAGCAGGTCCCAAAAAAATGATAAAAATAGTAAATTTGCTAAGTTTTCATCATCATCAATAATTATAAAAACAACTGAGTGCTGAACTGTCGATTCTGTATTGACTCTGTTCTATTATATGGTTATTACTTACTGATGTCTCATGCGGGTTACATAAAATAATAATAATGTCGATTGGCCAAATTTAGTGGATGGGCTGATAGGGGTCCGCCATCTGACCACGACATGCTACGGGGTCCACAGCTTCAAGAAGTTTGATAACCACTGGTGTAGACAATCGTGCCGAGACTGCCTCTACACTGGGTCTGTATTTTGGACACTGATTATTGAAATGGTTACATGAGTTGATGTGTGATTACAGTGGTAAGCGAGTTACGTCCTGAAGATAGACAAGAAAGACACCCATACTGATTGTTATTTTGTTAAAAATCGTCCAAGCTAAACCCGAATCAATGTTTGGAATGAAATTATCTTGTCTGAAATATTGAAACAAAGATGATATGAAATGCAAATGATATGATAATGATGATATAATGATGATATGATGATAGAGATAATAATAATAATAATAATAATAATAATAATAATAATAATAATAATAATAATAATAATAATAATATGATGATGATGATGATGATGATATGATGATATGATGATATGATGATATGATGATGATATGATGATGATAAGATGTGATGATGATATGATGTGATGATATCATATGATGATGATATGATATGATGATGATGATGGTATGATGATTATTATGATGACGATATGATGATGATGAATATGATGAGATGATGAGGAGGAGAAGGAGGTGATGAGATGAGGTGATGTGGTGAGGTGATGTGATGATGATGTGATAATAATGATGATGATGATGTGATGGTGGTGATGGTGGTGATATGATGTGATGTGATGTGATGATGATGATGATGATGTGATGATGATTTGATGATTTTGATGTGGGGATAATGTGATGATGATGATGATGACGACGACGATGATGATGATGATTAGCAGGTTGTTTGGTTTGTTTTAATTGCCTAAAAAATAAAATGGTATGTTATATTAGGCAAATACGATTAAATATGTTGAGTACATACAGTGTAATTGTCACTTTCATATAACGGTATGAAAGACTGTACGGTATCGGACACATGTGAACAAAGCTACGTATTCATACGATGAGATTAGATTCAAGAAATGCAAATCACTTTGAAAGTAACGTTAATACATAATAAAGGACAAAAATTAAATTATTGTAATACTTCTTAAGACGAGATGGCTTGGGTACTTATATTGTTTGCACGTTTGCTGAATATCTCCATGGCTTCTATTGTAGATATTAGGCATTCTGAATACAGTGACTACAAGTACTGGGCTTATTACCAGCAAATCGCCCTCAATACCAAAACCGACATCTTACTCCTTTGTTTTGAGATTTTCATGGCCTCCACTTTACATTTTTTGAAAAAGCACCCTACACACACAGAACTCTATACCCGACTAAGGAAATTTGACAAACTTTTCGATACCTGTCATAGGCACACAAAAATGTCTTTATTTATTTCAAGTAAATATACCTGTTTCTCTGTAAATATGAGAGAAAACTGTTACCATGGTTATGGGCTCAAAATGAATCAAACTTTGCGCTGACTCCTTTATCGTCAAACAGGACGGTGAGACTGAAGACATTTTGTGGCATCAACTTGACGCCACGAATAACATGTTCTGTTTTGTTGTGAATTTATCAGTATCACTATTTGATTGCAAATCCAGACGTATTCATTATCACTATGTGAGTGACAATCATATACATTAGCATACATCCTACTTCTTCCTCAAATATTATTTGTATTTGTGAAAGCGACATGATTCGTTTAATCTTGGAGAATAGCCATCACATATTCATAGTTCTGTAAATCTATAATTGGATCACCCTACTTGGTAGATTAATTATTGTGTTGTAACTCAATCGTATTAAATCATCCAGTAGCCAAATCATGTTCTCTCTTTTTTTTTTTCATGTAGGAAATCCAGACAATTGTCACTGTTTTCTTCAAACTCAGTATTTTTTTCTGCTTTTTGCAATTTTTGAGTACATAAATTGTCTTATTTTTATTATCAAAGTAAAACATTATACATGTAATACGATACAGGTTTTTAGTAAAATGTATTATGATTGAAATCAACACTAAAATCGCGTTGAAAATTTACGTTAACTCATATTGGAAGCAATTTTGCACTTCATAATAGTGAGATTGATATTTAAATTGTTTTGAGTTGCAGCTGTGCGCTGCTTTGGTAAAATATCACGCTTGTGTGTCCAAGTACACTTTCCTGTATTTAAAGGTTAACATCAGCAAATTTTAGATTTGATCGTAAACTGATGATCGACAATCGCGCAGTTTGCTTGTATCTGAAAGGTTTGTAAAGTGCGCAATTGCGCAGTTTGATTGTAAATTGTAAATTGTTGATTGATTGAAATTGTTGTAAATTGTAAAGTCTGTAAATTGTTGATTCACGCGTTTTCCTGTGAGAAAGAGGAAGAGTTTGTTCTGACTATGGAGACGGTCGTGTATAAAATATTCCACCCAGTTCTAGTACATTCTCTCTCTCTCTCTCTCTCTCTCTCTCTCTCTCTCTCTCTCTCTCTCTCTCTCTCTCTCTCTCTCTCTCTCTCTCTCTCTCTCTCTCTCTTCATTACAGGTAAGAATTGTTTGTGTTCATAAAGTCTTTAAACTATAGCAACTTTTTAATGTTGAGATTTTCATGGTAAAGTTCAATCTATACTTGATATTTTTTAATATTTTGTGATTTCCTAATATTAAAATATAATGAAAATTTTTTATTGTTTCAAAGCATTTATATTTATGGTATATATTATGGAAAAGACTAATTCCTACTAACTTCATGTTTAGATTTAATCTGGAAATTGATTCTTTAAGTCATAGAGAACATAGATTCAGTAACTTATTCCAAGTTAATAATCTATACATTATTTCTTTTGAATGATTGTTACATTAATCACAACTATTGAAACTATGCATTTTAATTATTAGATATCTAATTATCTATATTATATTAAAATGGCATAAATTATGTAAATATATGAAGTTGGTAAGTTCGAAGTAAAAGTACAACTTTATATGTATTTCATGTATTTTAAATATAAAGGTTTTATAACGTTTATTGCTTGAATGTAGCATTATATATCTATATATCTAAATAAAACTATTCTCTCCCAGAGTCTGAAACAGACCTCTCTCTCTCTCTCTCTCTCTCTCTCTCTCTCTCTCTCTCTCTCTCTCTCTCTCTCCCAGCCATGCTTTAGAACATTACTATGTCATTTATGAAACCATATTCGAATAACATGCAAAACTCATTGTTAATGCGCCCTATATTTGTCAGCGGACTTGAGGTGTGAAAATAATGCCAAATTTGTTGCCAAAGTTACATGACGAATATGCATTTGTAAATAAAAATGAATGTGAGCTTTCTCTTTCCACTAGAGTTTGTCTTCTGTACTTATACGAGTAGCTATAACAATATATTCTGGTAAAAGAAGTTTATGGAGAATATTAAATTATCAAGACACAAACCTCTCAACTAGTAAAGAGGTGTTGCTCTTGCGGATAGGCTGACAATCTCAAAGCCACAACTTCCAGAATGTATTTCAAGTGAAGCAAATCAGCATAGACCGTAACGGCAAATTGATTCTCACAAAAACGTACATCCTGAGAATCGACTGCCCCACTCCGCATACTTCGATCAAAGCCGGGTTCTTGAGTATCCGTGTCGACCATTTCATTTCATGCCAGAGGAAATCCGTATGCTCTGGATATGACCAGCAGAATTGCAATGGATCGCCCTGCTCTAAAACAAAAATCTGTTTGAGCGAATATCCATGCAGAATATTTATCATACTTTGGAGACGGTCACAAATAAAAACTCAAGAATGAGGTTCAACGCGTGAGCTTTCATGAGGCCAGGACATTGTTCGAACCACAGCTCCACTTAAAACAGCTGTTAAATCGTATACCCACGCAGTTACAGGGGAAAAGAACAATCTGCAA